TGACAACTGAAAACAAAAATGAAGTGTCTCCCCTCCCCTGATACCCCTAAAAATATTTATGACTTGTGGGGGGAAGAGTTGGTTTTGATTGGACAGGAATAAGGACTCGGCCTGGATTACTTTTTCTCCTTTTCCCTGTTTAATTATGTGACTGTGTATATAATATAGATCTCATACACCCTACACATTTTAAAAAGGCTTCTCAGAGGAATGGAGATGTGGGCGTTGGAGACTGGAAAGACCGAGAAATTGCAGATATATTTAGGCAGTAGGACACTACAGGGCGTGCGCCACTCTTTTGTACTGCCAAGTCCCACATGCATTGTCAGGCAACATGCCAAAGGCAAAATCTTGCAGCCACCAAAGAAGTGATAATATCCCAGAATGATGCATCCCTGGGTCAGTCTTATTTGACAGTTCTCAAATTGGTCCACAGTGTCATTAGGAAAACAGACTGATATTTAATAACAGTTCAATATTGTTGCACCAAATACTATGAATTAAAATTAAGTGATATATTATAGAAAAATCTGTGCAGTCAGTACAATATCAGTCCTCAAGATTTCAAACATTTTAAATTGCACTTTATGTAGCCAGCTGCTATAATGGCCAGAAGATAGCAGTCCTTTTTGATTATTACCACATTTAATCGTAACTAAATTAAAATTCTTGCTTTTCATTAAATTCAAACTGTAAAAATAGCCATTACTTCTCTTTTCAAGTTTCCTGACTTAAGCCTTCCCCCAACCCTCTTACTCCTACTTCCCCTTCCTCCCACACCCATCTGGTTTTCCTTCTTTTGGAGGCTTCTCAGCTTTAATTTACGGGCAAAACATCTGAATCAAATTGTAAAATAATGATGGGTCTGGAGATTTCCCCCATGATTCAGTAGCCCAACCTTGTATCTATATCATGCCCCTTCAAACAGGCATGCAACTTAAGAGTGCAAGGGAGCATTTAAGAAGCACATTGGCTGCTGTTCCATAGTTAAGACTGAAGCTAGCTTCTTATTATAATCCTGATTTTCAAACTCCTTTGTAATAATTTCCCCCAAAATAAAATTAATCCTCCTGAAATTCCAAACATTCTGGCATCCTCAGGTAAAGTTTTTCTGAGCAGTTTGGGTATGGGGTGTATGTGGGGAAAATCAGAAAAAATGAGCTTTTAAAGTTGTATCAGTATCATTAACACAGCATATTTGTTTATGGATACAGTCAAATAATCAACTATATGTCCCCTATGTTGGCTACAATAGCTTCAAACTTATTTTTTTTCCATTTTAGACACAGATCAGTACTATCTGTTCCTGAATGTCTCATATCTGTTGGAATACTAACAAATGGCTTTGCTACTAGAGCCTATTCTTCCTCCTCCTCCCTCCCCCGGAAAAATATCCCCTAAGCTCACTCTCCTTAGGGATAGACCACATTCTTTGGGCCCAAGCCTGCAAACACTGACCCACAACCTGACTCGGAGAAATAGTCCCATTCATTTCAAGGGACTACTCATGACTCAAATTACTCTTCTTTACAGGTGTATACAGTATCAGGCCTCCAAACACCAAATATGTGAAAAGGTTAAGGGGAATTCAAAGCTAGTTTTTTAAATAATTCTATTCAAGTTTTTCTAAATACCTGCTTTTAAAAGTAAGCCACAGTCTCAGTTTGCAGAGTACAACACTTAAGTTGTCCCAGTTTCCAGCAGTGAATATGTTTTTTGATGTTTACTATGTTTAGATATCTCAAGGTCTTCTACAGACACAGTGAAAAGGTAAGTGTCTTTGTTTTGCTTCAACAGTGACTTCATTCATGACAGAGGAACACTGTCCTAAGGAGATCATGCTCACTCTGGGAGCCCGAGGGGAATTCCTCTGCTCTGACTTGCACAGTCAAGTTCAGTTATGCAAATTTTCCAAATTAAATGTCATGTTTGGGATCTGATTTATAAATCACTAAAGTTCAGTCACTACAACTGCTTCATTGGTAGGCTTCTGATTTTAAATGGAGGCTGCCTCAGACAATGAAACAGAATCTGTAACAATGGGTCAGGGTCAGTTCTACTATCTGACTTTTCTTCCCAATTATTTTAAACTGTCAAGAAAGGAAAAAAATGCTATCTGGGGCCTCCTTTTTCTGTTATACATCTCTCACATTTGTCTTCAGTTGAATTAGTCCAACCAATTCACAGTTCATGACAACTGCTGAGCTTTACAGTCTCATTACCCAATATTTGAAATAGGTATCCTTTAATTTAAATTGTCCAATCCACAAGCCCTTGGAGGAATTTATAAATATACAATTCCATGCAGCTCATAGTTTTCATGAATAGTTCATAAGAAGCGGCACACAAATTAATTAGGCAAAAAATGGTATAGCAGAGACATGCATATTTTGATTTTTCCCAGGGGAAAAGTTGGGATTTCTCTAGAACTTTATGTAGCTTAAAATACACTATGCCACCTTTGAGCCAAAGAAAACTCGATAAGGTTTTCTCCCAACAGAATTCAGACGGCCCTGATTTTTAAAGATGTGGCCCTCCTTTTTTGCACCCACAAATTGTAGGCAGAATTGTAGACATAATTTTGTATCCACAATTAATGTTGCATGGACAGTGCACAAGTAATATTAAAGGAGTCCTCAAAATTGTAGGTGTAAAAAGGCTGGCTAGGCTCCCCTCACAAAGATTCACCAATAGACAAAACAGTCTCTTACTCACTGCTGAAAAAGTGAGTAGGGAAGAAACAGAAGCCAGATAAAAAAGCATGCCACAGCACAGATCTGAAAGATGTAAGCTAAACGTCTGGAGACAGAAGCATCTGATCCAAGATATCATAGGTTGCTTCTTCTCTGATTAAGCTACATCCTAAAATAATCTAATTAAACAAAATCCTGACTGGACCAAAACTTCAGTTACATATGTAAAGTGTTCTTATCATTCTGCATTAGCCAGAAAGTTGATTTTTTGTCATTTTGCCCTCCAGTGAAGGAAAGGTGCTACCACCACGTGAATGTACTTTAGTCTTCAAAATTATGTAGGTGCACAGCATTCACATAATTAAAAAGTTCAGATTTGCAGTAACTGTTTTTTCCCCACTCCCTCTAACGAACACATTCTAATATCTGAAATTTGAAAGTTTACTCACTTAGAGATCACAGGCACCATCCTTTATAACAATGTATATTTACATAGCATTTATATATTCAAAATACCATATGCCTCCAGTCCAGACCAATGGGTCAATGAGCAGAAATGGTTATGTAAACTGAGTTTCTGCTCATCAAATACAGCTATTGAACCTTCCCAATTCTTTATTGGTTAAAAGAACCTGTTGGTTGGTTTATTTTGTTAGTGCCAACTAACTAGGCATATAAAAGTGATGATGCCAGATAGAATATGCTGCTTGTACAAGTTGCATTTATTTTTCTGTTTAAAAAAGAAAGGTGCAGAGAGCCAGAGAAGAATTCAACGGAAGAAGCAGGAAAGTCTACATCATCGGAAATGTCAACAGTCTAGGTTGCTTGTTTGAGGAGCACTAACCAGTTTGCAGGTCAGGAAATTCCCTTTTATTTAAACACTGAAAATAGGAACACAGCTAATAAACTATCTAATCTGTTTTGGATCTAGGATTTTATAGTTTTTACATTTCCCCCCTGAAGGAATCAGACTCCTTTTCTACATCAGTCTTCCCAGAATTTAAAAAGCCCAGCATCAATGTATCAGGAAGTGCCAATGAATGGTCTTGTTGTTCAGCCTTTACTAAAGTCCAAACATTCACTTGGAATTTTTGACAAATTTGGAACTCTAAGCATTTGCCAGAAAGTACTTGTCCAGATTCCAGGAGGCATATTTAAATTTCAGCATTCTAACCTTTGGGTAACTTTAGGTTAAAAATTTCCACTACACACTTGGAAGTACCTAACATTTTCCATTTTCAGCTGTAACACAATCTATGCAGTGGGATATGTAGTTCAAATATATCATTTGACTGCAGCCTTGGAAGTTTTAAACCAAAAACTTTAAAATACTGGTTCCCTAAGTCTGCAGTCAGTTTTTAAAGTAGAACAGATTTGATTTCACTAATGCACTGAAAGAGTACACTTACCTGGGGTGGAAATTACACAACTGTAGGCACACAATGCAAGTGCATATTGGAAAACATTTGCTCAAATTTCCAGTTTGCGCATGCACATGACTAACTACACATTTAGCTATGTGTACGCACAATAGGAGATTTTTGAGTGCACATCTGGAAAGGAACATATAAAGCAGATGTATAAATATGCATCTACGTGAGGTCTAAAAACCAGGCTTTAAGTTTTGATGATACAGGAAACTGGTAACTGGCCTTTCACCTTTGGGTGACAGGTCTGAATTTGATCTCTCACAATGGCGAAAACAATTAATATCCAAAAGTTGTCTAGTGGCATATTTAAACGAGTTCCATTTTCTAGTGAACAGGTATCCACATCAAAGCACATCACTATTATAATTAGCACACTTGATGACAGACTCAATAGAAAGAATGAATGGGAATGGAGACTAAACTACTCACCTTCCACTGAGGGCTTTCCAGAACAAAGTTGGTGTATACTGGGAAAATAAACACTTCCTGCACTGCACCTCTTAAGTGAACATACTTCAGACACTAGCGCCTTTAATCTAGAAGCATTCAAATATCTACATACGTATTTTCCTGATGTATTAGTGAAAATACACTATATAACATCTTCTGTTAAATCAATGTTTAGGCATTTACCTCATCTGTACTAGAAAAGATTCTCAGTTCATCCTGAGATGATTTTCTGTAACCAAGTTATCTTAAAAGCAACAGAGGGTCCTGTGGCACCTTTAAGACTAACAGAAGTATTGGGAGCATAAGCTTTCGTGGGTAAGAACCTCACTCCTTCAGATGACTTGCATAGTCCATAATACCAGAGCTGGCACTGCAGAAACCCCAATACAATAAGGAAGTTTAAGGAAAAATTGCATGTTTTTAATACCTTTTTTGCACTCTCAGGGCCTGCTTCATCAAAGCGAAATCGGACAATACGGAAATCTTTGCAATAAATAATTAATTCTGTTGGATTAAATTTAAGTTTCTGGTTGGGACCAAGGACCTTCTGTTTCCTCTTTGTGTCATTTACTAAAACAAAAAACAAAAAGTTGTTAAAGATCAAGTATAGAGTATACACTTAAAGAAAAATATTGTTAGTTACATACAGAGGATACCAATACTGTAAAAATTAATATTGTTTGAGTAGAACAGATGCTGCTCCTTGTGAGTCACATTATGATCAAATGTCTAGCTCTCCAAACAAAATTGACTTATAGCTGTTATCCTCATTTCCCCTATGTCCAAATGACCATTGGTGAGGAATAATTACATTCCACGAACAAAGGATTTCATATACAGCACCTCTCAGCAACCCATCTTGCCTCCCATGTTGTTCAGAATGAGTTCTCTCCTAGCAAGGTCATTTCTAAATGATTGACTAATGAAGCATCATTACTGGGATTATATACAATTTGATCTCTGCCTCTTAAAACTTGCTTGCTCAGCCTCTGTCACTTTTTAGGCATTTCACTAACAACAATAATAATAAAACCCTGACTCCTGTGTAAACAGATTTGGACAGATTAGTGTCAAATTTTGGAAGGGAAATACAGCACCCCTTCTAAACCCATCACAACCTAATTCAGTTAAAAAGGAAAGAGGACAACACAGCCCTGCGGCTGCCCCTTGTGATAGAAATAGGGTCAAGTAGCTCACCTCTTCACTCCATCCTAATACTATCCACTATTTGGCTATGGAGGATTAGGAATCTATGCCAACCCTTGTAAATTTCTCCCAGAGATGACCTCTGTTAATGGAATCAAAAGCCAATTTCAAATTGACAGAGACCACCTCTTATTTTATTTCCTTGGGACAAATGAGTACGGGCAAATCAATCAATCGTGGCGCAGCCATTCCTGAAAGCGGCTTGCTCACATGCAAATAGATTACAACTCTCCATGCAATCCACTAATCTCCAATATCTGGGATAGATTTTTAAAACCATCTGAGAGATTAATTGCTCAGTAATTCCCAGGATAATTTCTGTCACCTTTTCTATATAGTGGAAAAATAACACCAGTGAACCAACCTGCAGGAAAATAGCCTCTATTATTTATATTAATAATACAAATTAATATTATTAATACAAATATAATATTATTTATATTAATAATTGCTAATACCAAGGCCCACCAAACAATACAGTCTTTATAATCGTCTGCAGAAAGAATAGCCTCATCAGGAGCTTTGTTATGAAGGCGTTGGCTTATCAAAATTCTATCTTACCCAGTGGAGACAACAGGCAAGGTCCAATGAGATAGACTGTATCAAAAGGCTGATAGATGGGAGTATCGGTATAATGCTGCTCATCCTATAATTTTGACAATCTTAATAAATACTATGGGAGCTTATGCTGGATCACTAAAGGTCCAAAGGCTGGTCCTCCAAAACTGGATAAAAGTTTCTCTAATTTTAAACTTAACTAATAGATTCCACTTAATTTGCTTCAAATTTACAGCTTCAAAATCAGGAACACCACACACTCTGGCATACTTTCTGGCAGAAGACAGAAATTCACCTGCAGAGATTGCTGATTAATGACGTGTTTAAAAGGCACTATAAAGTTAGAGAAACAAGATCACCTTAAAATCAGAACTGCAATATTTTGTTGTTTATGGCCCAATTGGCTTGGTGGTGGGAATACCACCTATAAATAATTGTAATTCTTATAATCATTGGTTATCTTTTTTCAATTTAAAATCTTAAGGTGGAAGAGATGTTCAAAACAGTTATAAATTAAATGGAAAACCAACGGTTGTTAAAAAGGCACTGTTTCTTGAACAATTATGAGTTCAGAATTGTAATCTCACATACTTTAAAAAGCACATGAAAACCAAGTTTAATGCAAGCCTTGCAAAGTTTCTGATTTGAATTTTACCCAGTCTTTAGATTGCTTTTCTGACTTGTTACCAATTAATTTAAATTTAGGTACTTCATAGAAAGACTAATGAAATTCAACCTTAACTGTGCACGATTGTGCCTTAATATAGAAAGCAGCTGCTAATTTTAACTTTAACATATAAACTCATGTTTTAAGCTTTTCACCGTACTTAAATGACTTTTCCATACCTGTGACAACTTGTTCAATACATGTTAACGGCACATCATGTTCACCAAGGAGGAGGTTTTTATAATGGAATTTCTGGAACAGAGACAAACTCATGATAAATAAACAGGAGCTTTACAGCAGTATTGTTTTTAGCATGTATTTTACAACACAATTTAGAGAGAACACTGACAGATATTTCTCAAATAAAAACAATGGATTCTATAGGAAAAAAGTTCAACAGACAATATTTCCTTGGAGTTTTCTAGCCTAATCATGAATCATTTCAGCTTCAAACTGACTGCAATTTAAGATGAAAAACCATTACTGCAACTATGAAAAGAAAAATGCGTGTCACCTTCCACGAGCAGAGTCAAAGGTTCCTTTTTATAACACCAGATGTAACAAAATAGATTAAGTGTGGAGGAGTGCTCCTCAGAGCAGTTACAGACCCCAGGTTGGAAACTTCAAAAACAGTACTCTGAGCCCAAAACAATTATATATGCTGCAATTAGCCATCTGCTACTATTGTCACGTTCTATTTTACAAGTGTAGGAGCTACAAAGAGTATAAGCATGCAAAGGACTGTAATTTTTATAGTTTACAAATTTAGTTTAAACTCAGACCACTTGAAGAGAGCAGAGAAATATTATTGGATCACTTCAAATCTAACATACTGTATTGTGGGTTTTTGTAGGAAAGAATGAGAAAAATGACAGCAGAAGAAGAGACAGAAAGACAAAAAATGTATTTGATAAGGAAATATAATGCTAATTTAACATATTAATTTAAAAGTAATATGCCTTCGAAGCCTTATATATTATTGGTTTCCAAAGACATTGAATATCATGGAATAGAATTATATTAAACTTTAAGGTTGTTACAGTTATGATTAACATGACACATAATATGAATACAATAAATTTGCTTTTTCATAAAAGCCATGGCCTTTGTCACCCAACTAGCCACTACTGAGCAAGACTCCTTCAGTATTTTCACTAATGTAGTTAAATACGTGTCCAGGCAGGCAATTGAGTACTTTTTAAAAAGTTGTAAATGATTACGAAATTTTTATTGAAAAATAAGTATAAATGATAATACAATAAAGGTTGTTGAAACTGAGTTAAAAATATTATTTGCCAAGATGTTTACAAATTAAACTAAGTTTATGACTTTTGCATGTTTTGCCATGCCTTTTCCCTTTTCTGTTATTATGAACAACCAGCCTTAATTGTTATATATTGCTGCCGCTATACTAAATATGATAATTTCACTGGTATCTTGTCCTCTCCCTCACTGACTTCAATAGGAGTTGGGCACATATTAAAGATTTTGCTGAATTGGTGCTTATATCTACGTAAAGAAAACTTGGAATTCTCAGAATTCAGTAGGGTGTTCCATTATATTTTCCAATGAATAGTTAAGTGTTTGGCTTTTAAACAGCATTTCCCAAAACACCCTCCTGCAAACAGTAGCTCGCTGTACTGCTTTGATTCTGTAGTTCAAATGACGTGGAAAATAATACTCTGATGTCAAAAATTTACAATCTGTAGATACAATAGGGCAAATTAAGGATTGGTACATGAATAATTCAGGATGGATATTTGAACTTCCTTTGTTTTATAGAATGAGGTTAGACCTCTCAATTATTTGAGGAATTTATTGTGGTTTAACTGAATCCATTTTGTTACATCATGATTTATGATAAATAGGATTATCAATTTTGAGAGAAACAAACCTGAAGTGGCATGGGATCATCCGTAATAAATGAAATCTTGAAGTTACTGCAAACCAACTTCCCCCAGAGATCATACTGACTTGTATCTGTTGCAATACATTTTCTCACAAAATTGACTTCATTTACCACAATTTCACCTAAAACAAAACCAGAAAAAAAAAAAAAAGAGTAAGCTATTTAAATCTTTTTAAAGATAGAAACATTACAAGTTGGTGATTTCAGACAAGGTGTTCCCCTTAACCTTTCTGACCTACCATTTGAAAATAAAGCATACTAACTTGGATTTTAACATGAAAGCTGGTCAGTGGAAACCAGAACTGTGACCTTTTAATTGAACCACCACTTATAATAGTACTGAAAGAGAGAGAATTAGGTAGTAATTAAAAAAAAACAAACAAACAAAAAAAACCACACACCCGAGTCATGAGTCTAGTGATGAAAATTGTGATATGCCACCACTGAAGTGTTTTTGTTTTAAATCAATGATAGTTTAAAATGATTAAGAATGATTTGTTTAAAAAGCCTCAGCTAAAATGAATGGTATGTATAATATGTCAGTATGTTTCTAAAACCTTTATTGTTTAAATTATATTACGGTTCTTTTGTGAACCTACAGGATCCCAAATTTCAGAATCAATCATCAGAAAGCCAACCTGATTATTAACCAAATCCTCATTTGCACATCTAATTATCTCTGATTAGTACTTGGACATTCAGACTAATATTCTGAGTAAATCTATGAAAGACGACACATGATTTGTAAAAACACACTCGAAAATATCACTCTCCCTTTCAGAGCTTCTACTGTGACCAGCTGATTCGTGAGACTAAAAATGTTCCTCTGGTAAAAGAAGTTACTTAAAATGCATATATTTAAATTCATCCAGGATTCTTCCCAGACAGAAGTCTCTCAAGTACAAAGAATAGTCTAGGAGAAACTATGCTTTAAACAAGAGGAACACACAGAGGCCGATCATATTGAAAGCTATATTTAAAAAAGCCTTTATAGCTCCCCTCAGACAATTTTACCCATTAGCATCTGGAATTGAAGTTCCTGGAAGCTAAATTACAACCTACATACAGCTTCCCCCATTTTACTTCAGGATGTGCAATCTGTTATTTGCTGAATCCCGACATATAAACAAAGTTCTCTTCCATATCAGAGCAGCCACTTGTATTGTTATAACACTTCAGTTGTCGACTGCCACAGGTAACAAGAGCATGCATATGGAAATTTAAGTTTATAATACTTTAAATATTTTCAATTATTAAAGTATTAAAGAGTGCATACAGCTGATTTAATAACGATGAAGACTAATTTGCTCATCTAGGGATTAATTCTGCAAGGTTATCTCCAATTGCCAGAAAGGGGACCTGATGGTGCTCAGTACCTTGGGCTCTGGTTGTCCAAAAGATTTTACCATAATATACTTCACAGATTATAGTTAAATGGCAGCAGAAATCATTTACAGAATCAGACATGGAAAGAGACCTTATTGGGTCACCCACAGTCCAGCTCCCTGGTCAGCACATTTTCCAATATTCTTCCCAGTGTTATCACTTGGGAACATTATAACGTTTCAGTGCTTCCAATAGACTATTCCACAACCTAATACATCTTACTGTCAAGATGTTTTTCCTGATATCCCATCTACATAATCCCCAAATTGTATACTTTATATTTTCTTGTAAAGTACCACCAAATACCACATTAAAATTCCTTTCTGTCGTTGGTGCTAACAACCTTCATATACTTTACACGAAGTTCCCTGCCTGTATTAGTCTCTTAACCAACATTTTTGCCCTTTCCTCATAAGTGAAACCTTCCAGGGCCTTTATAATTTAGATGCTCTTCTCTGAACCCATCCAATGTACCAATATTTCTCTAACAATGTGGTGTCCAGAACCAAATACACTATTTCCCTTAATACTCAAAGAAACGTATAATTCAGAATGGCTGATTAATACATGCTAAAAATTTTAGTGTGGTATTCCTTTACTGTTCTATCAACTGGATTTTTTTTTTTTTTTTTTAAACACCATGTTCATTCCTTACAGTTGTTCAGGCTTCCGTTTTATAATTTTCTTGTTATATGACTTTGTAAATCTGTCTTTTTATGAAGCAGTTCAATAAGCTGAGAGTCAGCTTATTCTTTCACTCTTATTAATGGACCTTTTTATCATCATTACTGCCCCCATGCATTTGTAAAACCACCTCTCATTTTACTAATCTTCATCATATCTAGTCCTCCTTGCTTCCTCTCTCCATTCCTCATGTTTGTGCAGACACATTTTAATGTATTAATATTCATTCATCTATTTCAGAAAATTCTTTCTTCTGCCTTACTTTTTATGATGGAAGTACATGTCAGTCCTTTTGACAGCAGTGAAAGCTCCCCACCCCTCCCATAAACACCCGCTCCCACTTAAAGTCAAATCAGTTTTGACCTAGGAGTTTGGTTATCTAGCTACTCAAAATATTCGGCATGCAAAGGAGTCAGGGCTCAGTATGCTGTCAACCATTTTTTTTAAAAGTATTTTTAAGTTGTGTTTTTTTCTTTTAAATCAAATGTGAAAGCTAGAATTGCAGTTAACCTTTAACAGATGGAGTTTTCAAGGGCCTTAGTGCAAGTCTATATTTTTTAATAGTGGGATCCCAAACCTTTATCCTGAAGTTTCATATTAAGACACTTAACCTTTAACACTTGTTATTCAGTGGCTATATTGAATAATATGAAGAAGAGTGCAAAGCATCTAAACCTCCGTAAAATAGAGGAAACTAGCTAAATAAAGTGGAAACAATTATCAGTCTAATATCAGGAAACATTTTGCTTTAGCCAAATCCACAGCTTAAAAGATGGTTTTTCTATGGCAGTGTCTATGATTAAGCTATTCAGAGATATTACACTGCACATTTTTACAATGTAGCTGCTTCTTTTTCCAGTAAACAGTCACAAGCTGTTCCAGACACGGAACAGCAGTGAACACTTTCATGTGACTTGAACAGTCAAAGAGTTATCCCAGGAAACAAGAGAGCAGTCTGTATAAACTCTGACAGGAAACTAGAACAAATTACAGGGTTACCACCCATTATATATGAAGTGTATTCAAGTAATAAAAATCTACCCAAATTAAATTCATGATTCACAAAAAGATAACACAAGAGTCCAAAGCTCATTAGTTATTAATCTCTCCATTTGAAAACATAAAATTTTAGAGAGTTACAGGTTTCTGAGATTCTGGTAAACATTAAAAAAAAAAAATTTAACTTGACTTCATAGCATCTTGGATGCAACATACAGCTACTGTTTAAGGGGAATCCATGAAAACTTATTTCAGTGACTCATTGTGTTATTACATCACCATCTCCTACATCCCACAACAGTCAAAATCAGAGACTAATAATCAACGAATAAAATCTTATTCAAGTGATACATTCCATGCCTACAATATTTCATTTTCTAGGTAAAGCCAAAGATTGTTCTGTTAACTGTATAGTTGGCAGACAAACACGCTATATCTTCCTATCATAAAACATGTTAGATATCTTGATTAGAGCTACATAAACAAAATGTAATTTGTTAGATAAATGAAAAAGCAATATTGTACTCAATGAAACAAGTCACAAATATTCTATTCCATTTTTTCCTCCTCATACAAAAAAAATAATAATTAAGCAGTGCATAGATAGGATTTATGGCATGCACCTTGCCTTCATATTTTTTCTTGTAAGGTGATCACTAATTGGAGAGACCATAGTTGATTATAGGTAAGGTTAAGATTTTGTCAGAGTTATTTTTAATAAACGTTATGGACATGTCGCGGGCAATAAACAAAAATTCACGGAAGCCTGTGACCAGTCTGGGGAGGAAGGGGGGAGCGCGAGAGGGGCTGACTGCCGCCACAGGAGCTGACAGGTGCAGCCCTGCTATGTGGCTGAAGCCGAAGAAGTCATGGAGATCCGTTAAAGTCACAGAATCCGTGACCTAATCACATCCTCACTTATCGGTAATGCTGAAACCAACTTGGCCTCTCGAGGGGAAATGGATGAGCCTCTTAAGTGCAGTGGATGGGCGGGGAGATGATCTCAGACATGGAAAACAGAGGAAGATTGCAGTTATTCATCATGGCTGCCATCCCAGCCATCTCCTGGGAACCTAGAATCCATCATGACACTACTGGGCCTTCACTGTCCTGATCCTGAGAAATATCTTGACCGAACCGGGCCAGAGAGATGGACCCAGAGAACATTGCCACAGGCTCTAGCTAAATCCCAAATACCACCTGGGATATTAGACTGTCAGTCACCCTGTCCCACTCCCATCATGTGTTTTCCTTCCTCACATTATTTCTTCTCTTTCCTATCTCTCTCCTTTTGCCTTTTACCTAAGGAGAGTCTGATCAGGTTGGCCAAAAGTGCATATTTTGCAACACCGCTGTGAGCCTGTGATGTAAGAGGCAGATTATAGCAATGCCCTGAAAAGCCCAATGTTGGTACAAGTTTGCCAGATCTCAGTGTGGCTAATAAAACTGTGTGCCACGTCTGCTACACTGACTATTTGCTTAGTACATCTCTACCTCGATATAATGCTGCCCTTGGGAGCCAAAAAAATCTTACCGCAGTATAGGTGAAATCGCGTTATAGTGAACTTGCTTTGATCCACCGGAGTGCGCAGCCTCCCCCCCCCCCCTCGAGCACTGCTTTACCGCGTTATATTGGGTCGCGTTATATCGAGGTAACCGTGTACCACCATTCTGTGTGTACATTGTGCCTTTCATTGGAGTTTCAAAGTACCTTACAAACCAAGTCTCAAAATAACCCCCGGAGTGGAAGGCATATTCTCTATTTTCCTGATGGCACAGCGAGATTTATCGACTTTTCTCATATGCACAAGTTTGTGGCAAAGCCAGTAAGAGATCTTGGATCATCTGACTCCCAGACCTAAGCTACACACAAATTAGAATTATTGAATTTAACAAAAACAAAAACAAACAAAAAAAAAACACAAAAAACCCAGTTCCACTAAAACTCCATGCCCCCAAATTCTCTCCTCTCTATAGTAAAACAAGTTTTTTCAGGGGCAATCCTTTCATCTTCCACCAGCAGTAATATCTGCCAGCTGGGGACAGAGCACCT